ACCTCCTCGACGGCGACCTCCTCGACGGCGACCTCCTCGACGGTGGCCTCCTCGGTGACCTCCTCGACGACCTCCTCGACGGTGGCCTCCTCGATGGTAGCCTCCTCGGTGACCTCCTCGACGGTGGCCTCGACGACCTCGACGGTGGCCTCCTCGGTGACCTCCTCGACAATGGTCTCAACAACCTCCTCGACGGTGGCCTCCTCGACGGTGGCCTCCTCGATGGTGGCCTCCTCAACGGCGACCTCCTCGGCGACTTCCTCGACAGTGGTCTCAACGACCTCCTCAACGGTGGCCTCCTCAACAGCGACCTCCTCAACGGCGACCTCCTCGGCAGTGACTTCCTCGATGGTGGCCTCCTCGATGGCGACCTCCTCGATGGCAACCTCCTCGACAGTGGTCTCCTCGATAGCGGCCTCGGAAGAGGTTTCCTCGACGCTCTCAATGGCGACCTCCTGGGCGACCTCCTCAGTGGTCGGGACAGCCTCCTCAACAGTAGGCTCGACGACCTCCTCAACGGCAGTCTCCTCAGCGGCCTCCGCGACGACAACCTCCTCGGCAACAGACTCGGCGACCTCAGCAGTATCGACGGTCACCTCAGCGACAGCCTCGGCGGCAGCCTCCTCGGTGGTGTCGGCATCAACGGAGACCCCCTCGGTCTGGGGAGAGGCGGGCTCGCTGGAAACAAGAGGGGGAGCATCCACAGGAGTGGTGTCGAGCGTGGGGTCCACAACCTCCGCGGCCTTGGTGGGCGCGGGGGTCTTGGCAGCCTCTGTGACATTGACCGGCAGGAGGGGGAGAGAAAGAACCAGGATTCCAGGAAACAGCTGTTAGCTCACATCCCAAGCAGCCATCCATTCATACGAATAACAGGGAGAGGATGTGGAAAACATAGCGTACTCGGGCGACCAGCGTTGGTCTTGTTGCGACCACGCTTGGGGGGCATGATAGTTGATTGGAAGAAAAGAGAGGGGGAAGGGGGAACGGTGACGGTGACGGGGACGGGGACGGGGGGGGGGGGGGCGAAAAAGAGCTAAGGCGAGAAGAGGGGGGCAGGCAGGTGGAGAGGGGGGAGAGAAGGGGGAGTTGTCTCTATCTCTCGCAAGTGGGGCAGCTTCGAGGACAGACAAAGAGCCAACATGCTGACCGATGAGTCTTGGTGACCCTTCCAGGAGGCTCCAGCCGGAGATGGCGCAAGACATCGGGCGCTCGCCCCTGGCATCCAGAGAGGGAGAGAGAGAGAGAGAGAGAAAAAAAAAGAGTAGACGAGCGAGGGCCCCGACCTCGCCCTCATGGCTTCTCCCGCCTGTCGTCTCGTGTGCCCCCGCCTCGCCCTTGTCCATGGGCACGCTCTGGCTACTCCGCCTCCGAACGGGGGGAGGGAAGCGCCCCTGTGCCAGATGGCCGCACGCCCCTGTTGTTCCCCTTTGGGGGAATGGGGGGTGCATCGCTCATTGCTCATAAAGGAGGTACTCATCCCTCCCCCCCCCTCCCCCCCCCCCCCCCCCCCCCCCCCTCCTCCCCACCCCACCCCCCCCACGAAACCAAAAACAACCCACCCCCCCCCCCCCCCAGCAGGGGACCCGGGCATGAACAACAATGCCCCCCGAAAAGCTCTGGCCGATCCCGGGACTGCGTCCCGCGCCCCTGGGGACGAGCTGGGTGGCAGGCACACTGTGCGGCCAGCCCCGGCCCGAGGGCCGCCCCGGGTTGGGACCTGCTCGGGCCTGTGCGCCACATGGGGAGTCGGCTGAACCGCGACGGAGGACGGACGAGGGGCGGAGGGGGGGGGACGCATGGCGGACTCCGCAGCAACGCCCGGGCGAAGGAATACACGGTCCCGCCGCTCTCCCCCGCCCGCCCGCCCGCCCGCGTGCCCCCGCCTGCGCACCGCTGCACACCCAGCTGCCGGTCGCCGGATCTGACCATTGTCCCGAGGGCGTCTATTTGCCCCCCGGCACCCGGGGACTCCGCGACCTTTGACCGGCCTCCCAGGCGCCGGCCTCGTTCTGAGTCAATGCTTTGTGCCGTGGCTGCCCGGGCGTGCCCCCTCCCCTCCCCGCGTCGAGGGGGGGGGGGGGGGGCAGGGAGGCGGTCGCCATTGCGGACTGACTCCGCCCGGGAGGGCAGGTCTCAGGAGAACCTGGGGAACTCCCCTCCGGGAGCGGGGAGCCAGGCGGTAGATCGCGCAAATCCGCACACACGTCCATACACCGGCCCCAAGGACGCACAAGCGTGCTGGTACCAACGGGGTCACATCTGGTTGCGGATGGCGGCGTCCAGAGGGGGACGGCGGCGCCGGACCCATACCAGGATCCATATGTGCACGGGTGCAATGTGTGGCCGCCTGATGCCATGTGAAACTCGGGCTGCCAGTGCTGCGAGGGCATGCCACCGACGGGCGGTCCAGCCTGGCCCCGGCCCGCAGGCCTACCAGCCAGCAACCGGTAGACAGGCATCAGGCAGTCATAGCGCCACACACATGTGCACCGCCCTCCCCCCGGAGACCGCCAGGGCCCGCGGAGTGCCGACTTCGGAGCGGGCGCGCCGGAGCGACGCCTCGGCTCACGGTCTGGCCCCAACCCGACCCCGCGCACCCTCCCCCTGCGTTCACCAGCCCTGGGGGGGCCTGGGGGGGGGGGGGGCGGGGCGGGGGGGCCACCAGGGCAACAGCCCCGCGTTGCTGCGCCCGCGCACGCGCATGCGTGTACCTGGCCTACACACACGCGCACACACACACGCGCACACACACACACACACCCCGCCGGGGTCAAGAGGGCGGGGACACTTGCCGGCGAGAAGAGGACCGAATGGCTGTCCCCCGACCCGCAGCTGGAAGACCGCGGAACGCGTTCCTCCGCTCGACACTCGTTTGCCCCTGGGATGTGATCATGTGCTCGATCATGCGCGATTCGTTGGTAGATCTGGTCCTGTTCTGGAATGCAGGCCGGCGTTCTGGCTCCTGGGTGATCGTTCCTTGCGCGATTTCCACGCCCCGGTGTTCGGCTCACGCTCCCAGCGCTGTTCCTACCTGCCTCTACCATGCCCCCCTGCGTGGGCCAGCATCTCGCGGCATGACAAACCGATTGTCGCCCCATGTGCCTGCCAGACGCCCAAATGCCGCATCCTCCCAATCGCCGAGGGAAGCGGCACCCGCCCACAGAACCAACCATGCTCCTCCCTCTACTGTAAACACACACACATGTGCGCACACACACACACACACACACACACACATACATACATACATACATGCGTACACACCGACACACTCACACACATGTATGTGGCGTCTGTGCGCAAATACCAAAAAGCCCACCCCCCGCCCCCCGGCCCAGGCGGGGCACAAGCATACGGACACATTGTGCAAACAGGAGATCGCGTATGTGATGCCGCTCTCGGGGCAGGGGCAGACACAAGGGTGCGCATGGAGATCCTGGACACCTGTCGGGCGGGCACACACCATAGGCTGGGGGTGTATTTTCAAGAGCAAGCGTTCCGGCAACGCCAGGCACACACACCCCTCGCACACAGGGCCTCCTCCCGGCCAGGGGGATCGAGGGAACCGAGGGGCGTGGCGAGGGTGCGACCAGTGCGCACGCGCCCCGGACACGGCCGCCAACCTGTGGCCCGACCCGCTTGATGTGGGGCTTACTGGGTCTTGGCCTTGCCAGAGGAACGGCCGCGGCCGAGGTACTTGCGGCGCTGGCTGATCATGTGGAAGTACTGGACGGGGAAGACTGCAAAGGGGAGAGCATTGACAAGGGGCGCGACATGGTGGACGGGACAACGGGAAGGCAGACAAGGAGTGACGGTTAGGATCCAGAGCAGACGGCTTGCAGCACATGAGACCGAAAAGACCATCCCCCGGGGAGGGCTGCCCCCGCCTCCCCCCCGCCCCCGCCCCCCTGAGGCGTGGGGAAAGGGAAGGCAGGGGAGCCGACATGTGACGCACGAGGGAAGTACAGGACCAGGGTGAAGCAGACGAAGTAGTACAGGTAGATGTTCTGGATGAAGGGCAGAGCGCAGTAGGCGAAGACGAACTCGCTGCCAGCACCGGTGGGGTAGAGGATGAAGAAGGTGGTGTAGCTGTGGCAAACGAGATTGATAGAGAGAGGGAGATGGAGAGGGGGGGGAGAGGGGGAAACACGGGCAGGGGGGATCGCGGGTCAGACAGAGACATAAACATGGCACCCGATGCCGGGGAGACACAGAGGGAAAGCCAAAGAAGAGTGCCGTGCGCGCGGAATGGAGGCTGGTGGGGGAGGGGGAGGGGGGGGGGGACACGCGACGCGTGAGGCTCAGGCGCCAGGACGCACCGGAGCCAGGTGATCAGGGAGGGGACGCCACCAATCAGGTTGAAGGCGTAGTACACGTAGCGGATGACCTCGGTGATGCACCAGGAGACCACCATGGTGGTGAAGGACCAGTGGGACTGGGACTGCTCGATCGAGTAGCCAATGGACCAGACGATGAACAGGCGAGAGCAAACCTGGATCAGGGTGGTCATGAAGGGGGAGGGGACCAGGCCAAAGAGGACATGAAGAACCTGATGGGAGGGGGAGGACAGAGGCCCGGGCCGGCAACAATGACCGCCGGTGGCACACGAGAAGTTAGCGGAGGGGGAAGAAGGCAGAGAGAGAGAGGGGG